GCCCAAGTAAAAACCGTATTATCGCTACGTAGTCGGGCCTGAGAGCCGAACCGTGTTATTAAATTTATATTCCAGCCCTTTTTGCTATGTGAATTAAATGGCCCAATTCCTTGCTATTAAATTCCTTGGTCCAATTTGAGTATTATCATTTTGGTCCAAATTGAACAAATATTTTTGGCCCATCTTGTGATTTAACCGATCAGATATTTTCCCCTCTTCCCTTCTTCTTCGCCGTGATCGAGTCCTCCCCTATCTGTGCCGTTTGAATTTCAGTTCCAATTTTGTCGTGAGATTTTCTCCACGTTCTTCCCTGGCTCTATTTTATCTCGTAGAAACAATTCCCATCCTCTCGCCACCGCGGCAGCCCTCTTCTTCCGGCGAGCCCTGTTCGCGCAGTGACGAGCAACCTCCGACGCGAACTCTCCTCCGCGAGCCTTTCTCAGTCCGTGACTAGCAGCAACGCCGCGAGCCCGTCCCTCGCCGTGAACCAGTCCCGTCGCACAGCCACTCCTCCTCGCCGGGAGAAGCTCCTCAGCCGTGACGGGAGCGAATTTATGAGAATCCGACTTCAGGCGATTGAGGGTGAATGCACCCGACGACAGCTAATCTCGATAGGTCCGGTTGTGGGCAGAAGAACTACATCATCCCGCCCTTCATGGCGATTCGAGCATCCCGCGATTGAAACCACGCCGATGACGAGAATGCCGACGTCCACCAGATTTTCCAGCGACGGGACCAACGTCCGACGAGCCCATGCCTCCGGCGATTTCGAGCCTCGATTTTTGTCGGGCAGTGAATGCTCGCGAGCCCCGACCATTGTCCGACGATTTCGAGCCGCCGTCGACTGTCGAGCCGTCCGTCGAGGTGAGAATCCGCAGCAGCTCACTTTCGGTTTGTTTTTTAGCTACCCGTAAGTGCGAGGGGAGCCCGAAACAGCAACAGCAGCCTTACGGGCCCGTACGGGAAGAGCAACGGCACCCCGTTGGCCGTCCGTTTCTTAGCATCAAGTTGCAGTAGCTAAATCGAGCCTTTTCGAGAGGCGAGAGCCAGCCGAGCCTCCCTTTCGATTTTGTTTCTAGCCCCGAGAGAGGTAGATGGCTGAACTCAAGTTTATTTCTTTTTTGGCCGAGAATATATGAGCATGCTATGTTTTCTTTTATTCATTTTAAAAACATGCTGCTTTGTAGTAGAGTGTAAGCAAAAGAGAAGCATGAATGTGTGCCTAATTGCCTAGTTTGAATTGAAAAAAGGGGCTGTTATCATGAGATAAAATATGCTGAGATTATGTGGTTATTTAGATGATTAGTTTTGATTTAAATGATATTTATAAAGCATGCTTAGAATTTGAGAGAAATTGAGTCATGAGAAAGCATTTTATACTTTGTCTTGGCCATGATTTTTATATATGTGGCTGGAACCCTTTAAGAATTTTTGTGTCTAAAATAAAGTGTTGTATTATGCCTTGTATGGTTGGAAGGTTTGAGTTTAGTATGTTTACAATCTGTGGAAAAGAGAACATGTTAATTGTGTTTTGGCTTTGTTGTTACGGTTTGTGATGAGCCTTGGAATGTTTGTTCTTGTGCTGAGTTGAAATGTAATTGTGCTAAATTGTGGCTTGTAAATCTCAGTCATGAGCGACTTAGGCTGGCTAGAATTATTAAGTTTCATTTGTTATTTGAAGTATAATTAGGTATCTTTTAGTTGCAGTTGTGCGGAGACATGTTATGCTGATACTATATGATGTAAGAAAAGATTAAGTTCTATGCCTAGGTGCTAAATAAGTATTAGAACATTAGAAAGCGTAAATTACGTTTTTAAATTACCTTTGTTTGAAAAAATAAAAAATAAAAGGAAAATTTGAGAAAGGCTAGTATATGTTTTAACCTTGTGTTATATTGAGCTTGTTATGCTTTTTTTTTCGTATGATTATTTGCTATTATCATGCTTAAAGTGATCATCTCCAAAGCTTAAGTCCAGTCATAAAACCTTTAAGCAGTTGCGTGAATTCTGAGATGGGATAAAATAAAAGGAACGTTTGAAACGCATGTAATTGTGTGGTTGATTTTGCGATGGGTGAGAATGTTTTAATTGCCGAGTCTATCATGTGCTTATGTGCTATTTATTATGTTTTTGGTGTCTTAATTCATAGTCAAAATTTTATACCCTTTTATTTGTCCTGGAAATTGAGAAGTAGAAAGGGGAGTAAGAATGCATATTCGTTTGATCTTTTGCTTTGGTGTATTTTTTTAAGTAGTAAGAATGAAGAGAAAAGAGTTAGAAATTCATGTGCTTTAATTGCTTTTAGTAGTCTAAGTTGTCCTTGTTTTACCTTACTTGTTCTTGCTTGCCAGTTGTCACCTTATTAATAAGATAAATATTATTAACTGTAGATTAACGAGGAGACGAGCCTTTTGCCTACCTTCTGCTGATTATTGTGTAATTGACTACCTCGTCTATCAGGTGGGTTTAATGTAAAATTGTCTATGCTGTAAATGTTATTACTGTTTTAAATTTTTGGTATGATCAAGTATGCATGTGGAACATGTAGCCTTCGATGTGAGCTGTACCGACCGTCGAACGGTTATCTCCGTAGCTATAGAACGTACCCGTTGGGTAGTCTCCTTATTATTGTGAGCCGTAAGACCTGGGTTAAAGGTCCCTGTGCTGGATGAACCCCGTTGGTAAGACCAAGGTGAGGCCTTGGCCGGCGGGTTACTCCTACTGGCTGGCACTCGATGTAGGACCCGAGGGCATTCGATATATAGTCAGCAGTAGTGGTTTACTCCTACTGGCTGGCACTCTATGTAGGACCGGAGGGCATTCGGTATATAGTCAGCAGTAGTCTATGCGTAGGTGTGCACACGAGTCTTGATTTTATGACGATCTTATGACGATATTATGACGATCTTATGACGATATTATGATGACAGGAGATTGGGATATTAAATTGATTCGTATACATGCTGAGACCATACCTTCTTGATTATTGATTACTGTTTCATTATTACGAATAATGTGTATTGCATAGTGGTGAGCACTACTTTTTCCATTTGTGCTCATCCCCACCTGAAATTCACATTTCAGGTTAAGCGAGGCAGGTACGACGACGGAGTAGAGCGAGTGGTGGTCGGTCTATAAGACTGGCCTTATTATTTGTTATGCTTCCGCATTTATGAACTGGTTTTATGATTATGAACTTGGGGTATTATTGTTTTTATGAATTTCGGATTTTATGACTGAATAATGTTAAGGAGATGCTCCTTAGAATTTATGAATAGTGTTGGAAGGAGATGCTCCTTAGAATTTATGAATAGTGTTGGAACCCGGTTTGGGTGATGATTTATGAAATTCTGGAAAACCCATTTTTGGGAGTTAGTATTATTGATGATGATTGATGATTGAGTTTGATGAATGATCGAGTATTGAAAAATTGGTTAGAATTGATGTTCGATTTAAAAAGGGGTAACGCCTCAGGTGCTTCGAAATAAATTTTAAAAAATTTATTCTGATTTTCAGCAAATAAAAGTGGGGCGTTACAGTTTGGTATCAGAGCCAGTCTGCGTTTCTGTAGACTGTATGTGTGAATTATGTGAATTATTTGCATAATATGTTTATGACCACTCGCTTCCGTCGTGCCGCGCCAACTCAGGTATGAATACTTGAGTGAATTTGGAATTGCTTATGTGCAATGTTATGATATTATGAGATGTAAACTGGGGCTTAGGGATTTATCCTCGTACTTTTAAACGTTCTGGAACTCTAGATGAGTGGCGAACCTTAGTTGCATGAACTTGAACTATAGCGATATAGAGTTAAGTTCTAACTTGAGGTTTTGTTTGTTTAGAAATTTGATATGGTGTTATCGAGCTGAGTTCTGTATATAACAGTCCTCTCGATGTATTTTGGTGTCTTCTGGAGAGGACCATTCGTGAACCATCTCGAAAGGAGAAGGCTTGAACGAAGGGAGCAGACAACAGAAGTCCCAAAGTGTGGGATATTCGGAGGTCTGTAACCATCATATGTGTGTTTGACCCCCAGTCGAGTGCGAACTGGAGTAGAGTCTTGGTGCCTTGTGCATACTTAATGTCCGACCCCGAGGAGTGTTGGGGAAACCCAATGCGAAACACTGTCGCGACTCTCGAGAGTGGCTAGGCCTCGAGAAAGACGATAGTAACCTATTCTTTTGTGGAATTCTCTTCGAAGGAATCCGACCTTGTTCTTAAGGCGGATAGATCGACCCGACACCACGTGTATAATTTTTTTTTTTTTTTCC